CAGGCTGACAGGCCTGTAGTTCCCAGGATCTGCTTTCCGGCCTTTCTTATAGACGGGTGTCACATTGGCAAGCCTCCAGTCTTCCGGGACCTCCCCTGTTAACCAGGACTGCTGATAAATGATGGAGAGTGGCTTGGCAAGCTCCTCCACCAGCTCTCAGTACTCTCGGGTGGATCCCATCAGGCCCCATAGACTTGTGGGTGTCCAGGTGGCTTAACAGGTCCTTAACTGCTTCCTCCTGGATTATGGGCGGATTATTGTGCTCTCCATCCCCGTCTTCCAGCTCAGGGGGGTTGAATACCCTGCGAATACCTGGACTGGCTATTAAAGACTGAGGCAAAGAAGGCATTAAGTACCTCAGCCTTGTCCTCGTCCTTGGATACTTATCACTTCATATTTATAAAAAGGTAATAGTGGAAGTTACAGCTGTAGATAGGAAGTTTTCTGAAACCATTTAAATGGGTTCAGAAAAGATCCCATCGTTATTTAATGCTACCTTTCGATGCCTGATTCTTTTGTATGCTTCAATAGTCATAACTTCTGATGGTTTCATTACGATACAGAATCATGTATTGGCATTCTGTCGTGTGAGCCTTCTCACTTACTAGATTGAGCCATATTTTTCTCAGATCAAATCTTTTATCACGTTATGCATGAGCATACTTGAATGAGGCCGTCAAGATTATTAGTTTCATGGAATAAAATAACATTGCCCTTCATATCATTCTTGGTTTTTTTTGAGGCAGCATGAGCCTTTACATAGCGCTCTTAGTCACATGGAAAAAACTTAATGGGGCTGTGCGTAGGTCTGGAAGCAATGGAAGTCTTTATGCTAATACCAAAGATTAATGTCTTACAATACTTTTTTTGAATTCTTAAAATATATTAAAATGACATTGTAACCACACCGGCTTTTCCCTTCTGATTTGTGATGATGTCCACCGTAAATTTTCTTAATTCTTAATTTTACTAGGTTCAGAGCACGATACGCTTCTGTTCATACCAGAATGCACTTTTGAGCCCTGGAGTGTCATAAGATGTAGTGAACAGATCTATTTTGTTTGGAGGGATTTCCCCCCTCCGAATCAAGTATGTTTTAAAAGAACAAGTGTGGAAGCAGAAATAATGTTATGCTTACATTTTTCTTTTAGTAGCTGATTTCATGTAAGAAATCCCGAGGGTGTTGAAGAATTACATAATATGATTCAGAAAATGAAATTAAAGGAAATTTCTTTACTCATCCTGTACTTAGTCTCAGTGAATATTACAAGGTAATATGGGGATTATTGTAGGTTTTCAGCATTTTCAGAATGAGAAAAACTTGTTGACATTTCCTTAATAATTCACTGTCTGTGGAATCCCCAGTTATCTTCTCCAGTAACTGATAGTTTTATGCATCTGTAGCCAGATATGAGATTTGATGGGGACAGATTTGTCTCAGAAGAGACTATCAGGATAGATTAATCATCATGAAATACAGCTTGTTCTCCTTCACTGAACAAGGAGTAAAGGTATGTTAATTTTTTACACATATGATGTATTGCTCTGTGTTACTGGTAGCTTGAGAGCTTGCCAAATGTCTCCTTTTCAGACCCAGAAGTTCCTGAAGTGTCTGCAGGGTTGTCTTATGTGGTTTTTTAGTCATTTGCCCACCTAGAACTGCCCTAATCTGTGTGGCTCAATACTTGGCTCCCACTCGAGCCCACTTGGATCCAAATTTGAGGCAGAGTGCAGCAAAAAGCCTCTGATGAGTTTAGTCTCATAGAAATGCATTCATGAAAACACGCTTAGCAAACCAAGGTACCAAACTTTTTGCAAAAGGCAGACATGCTTGTTTTTTAAAAAGTGATGGGAGAAGCAGTTGATGCAATGTCTGCTAATAATCTTCCTGAATGCTTTTTAGGAAGTATCATGTGTTCAATTGCCATTTCAGCCCGTGGAGATTTAGAGCCACTACTTCAGTACCCAGGAGACTATCCTAAGTATTAAACAAGACAGGGAGATGGGAGCAAGCCTCATTCTTCCTATCAAGAATGTGCCATTGTACAGGAAGGAATGCAAAATGTTTGAGCTAGACAGGCTAAAGACCATGAATCTGCAACCGAATGGCTGGAGTCCTCAGCTGGGAGTTCTGGTTCTTCCCTGGGATGTTTTTGCATTTCCATCACGCTGTCAATATTTGGCTCTACGATAATAATAAAGCAGATTTTAAAGTAAAGCAAACATTCTGGCTGTTGATGCCATTCTTGCAGTTTATTTCCATTTCTCTTTTCTCTTGCGTTGTCATAATTTGATCTTCGGAATAGATGTAGGTGATTTTTAATGATACTTAAACTATTTAGAGTTGTTACAAAATAGGTGACTGTCTCAAGTTTTCCCAACACTGTTACCTTCTTGAGTAAGCAGTGCCATTATGCCAATCTGAAAATTACATGTACTTGTCTGTATTTTTTTTTTTTCCTCTCTTTAGGTAGTCTTCGAGTGAAAAAACTCTTTTTTTTACTGTTATTAGACATTGATTTCTCTCTTGGGGTTGAATGGAACTGAAGTTGTCTCATGCACCACATCATAAAGGATGTTGTTATAGTCATCTTTGTGTAGG